GTTTAACAGGATGGTTTGCTGTTAGTATGAGATTCATAAAGGGTATATTTCTTGTTGTTCTTATTAGAGCCCCTTTTGATGATTGTTTTTTTATAATTGGATCATATCAAAGAGCAGTTAACACTGCCATTCAAACAGTTGATCAATGATTTATTTAAACAATTTAAAGCGTATCTCAAACTGGATTCCTGGTGGACTGCAGCTCTGCACAGTTTTGCTTCAACCCTAATCAAACACAGCTGATCCAACTAATCAAGGTGTTCAAGACTTAAGCTGCGGTCACACTAGAGTTTGATATTAAACTATATTATATTACACTATAAGAAGATTAGACATTTAAAAAAGCGAGCGATTGATCTATATTTTAAATTTCTGTCCAGAGAGGTCATGTTTAGATCTTCGATTGGTCTCATGCAAACATGTGATGCTATTTCAGGTCAGAGTTCACCAAGCTTGAACTTTCCAATGCTGCGAACTGCGAAATTTGTCACATGAGCTTGCATACCTGACGCATTCACGTGCGTATGAATGGAATTCTATGGGGAGAAAATTCCAGTGTGACCGCAGATTTAGAGGTGGTTGGGGCTAAACTATGCTGAGTTGTGGCCCTCCAGGAATTGAGTTTGAGATCATTGATTTAAAGGGATAGTTCATTCCAAAAATTAAATCTCTGTCATCATTTACCTGTACTTTACCCCTATTTGAATTTCCTTCTTCTGCTCAACACAAAATACAATATTTTGTAGAATGCTGGTTGATGACACCCATTGACTTCCATTATATTTTTTTTCCTACTGTGGAAGTCAAAAAATACCATTAAAGCTCCAATGAAATTAAAATAAAGTTTTTTACATGTTAGTGTTTGTATTGATTGTATTGATTGTTACATATCCACAAGCTAGTGTGCTCCAGAACTGTGACAAAACTCCAGTTTAGAATGCCTAACTGACCCAGCCGAGACTCGAACCAGCGACCTTCTTGCTGTGAAGCGACAGCACTACCTAGTGCGCCACTGCATCACCCTCCATTAGCCGATACATAATTGATTTCGTTTGTTAAGCGCAAAGATTTGATTCAAAACTATTTCTAAATTCAGTTCTAATTTCTAGCGAACGAATAAATGAACAATAATAACAAAGTCTGGTCAAAAAACTGAGTTAGATGCAAATACACATGCTATGCCCCATATGGTCTCAAACCTGACAGGTGGGCTATTCTAAGCTTGTTTTAAATAAAACAAATTTAAATGCGCATATAAAAAGTAATACAGCTTATAATAATAACATGATACAAAAGCAAATTGTTATTAATATACTGAAAAAGCCCCCTGAGATGAAGATCGCATGAAAGTTTTTAAATTTATGTAGGCTAGAAAATAATAATTGTTGTAATATTTTAATCTTTTAATTCTTTTTCAAATGTGCAGATATTTGCGTACTGCTGTACATCTTGTGTGTATTAAGCAATGTTTAAGCGAGGCGCACAACTAATGCGCTCTGCGCTGGACTATAGACTGGCTTTGATCTGGTTTATCGAACAGTCTATTATAGTTCCTCAAAATAGCAACGCACCAGCAATGCGCCTCAACACGTCTCCTATTTTAGACCAGAATGCCTATGGGCACACATATGAGCGCAAATGCATTTACTATTTAAACAGCGTGGTTCAAAATGACTCTTGCGCCAAGCTGAAAATAGCAAACAACAATTGTGACGCACCTTGCGCCGCATTGCGCCAGATGTATGATAGGGCTCATAGTCTCCAAAATACATTATACAGCTGAGTAAGCATGGCTTTTGTCGAAATTAAAAATAATTTGACATTTTTCAATAAACACAGCTTGTAAAAATGATTTCTAAAGGATAGCATGAGCTTATCCATAAAAAAATATTGTAAGAATATTTCACAATATTGCTTTTTTAATGTATTTTTGTTCAAACACATGCATATTTAAAAAAGAAAAAAAAATCTTATGTTCAGCATCAGGAAATTATAACTTTATTAATTATTAACGGCAATTTTTTCTACTTAAAATTACTAAGAATCATTTTACCTTTCAACAGATCTCATTTCTTGACATTATGTGTTGCTGGTATCTAGTTCGGATGATGTCGACAGCTGAGTGAGGTCATGAGGCCAGAGCTGCTGTCGATTGCTTTTGCTGTGGTGTCACATGTTCAATATGGCTGCCGTATGACTGTCACCAACGTGATCTCACAAAATGAGAAGTGACGGTCAGTAGGAGGAACATGTTTCAATTTCAATGAGCATAAGCAGCAGGCTGAGCTTTGTTGTGACTGAGCTCTGGATTTGAGTAATTCTGAAGGCGCGAGTAGACTGAGTGCAGGGATTGGCTAAAGGCCCAGATACTGTACAGTAGATGAAAGTGTGAATAGGCTGCACTTATTGTTGAACACAGTGAATCTGCATTTATTTGGATGAGGATTGCCAGCAAGAAGACACATATAATAGAAACGTTACATGTATATTTTGTCTTGGCATTGGCCTAAAAGACAAAACGCTAGATGTCTAGATGACTTTGATTCATTTTTATGGCTGTGTGATTGAGAAAAAGGATTCTCCTTGGTTTTTATATGGCTTATTGGTCAATTGTGGCATTCAAAGTCAAAGATTTTTGTGTAATGACCGCTAAATTCTTGTGAACTGCTCTTCTTTCATGTCTCTATTATTCCTCTGTGGTTTCTTTCTTCTCACATAATTGAGTTATTTAAACTCAAATCAATATTTCATGCTCTTTCAATTATGTATTTGATAAATAGCCGTGCAATAGAGGAATAATACATGGAATAATAGAACTGAGCTGGTCATCATGGCAAAATTAGCCTCTTAAACAAAACCCAGTCACCCTGTCTAGGGTTATTTTGCAATAATGGCCAGCTGAATGTACATTAACAATCCAATACTTGCACTACTCAAGCCAGTTTATACTTTGCTTCTATAAAGTTAAAAAAGTCACACATGGATAGGGTCTTTTATGCAGACAATAAGCAGATAATGATACAAAGTGTGGGTTTATGGAATGAACTACACTCTAAAAAAATATTGTTTAGACCAGTAGTTCTCAAACTTTTTTCACCAAGTACCACCTCAGGAAAACTTGTCTCTCCAAGTACCACCATAATGACTAGTATTGAAATACATAGTAGGCCTAATTAAGCGGCTACTGCACAGTTCACAAATGTGGCAGATTGATTATTATTATTATGAACATTTATTATTGTCAGCCACTTTAAACATAATAAATAGTTTGAACAATAACACACTTACAGTTAAAAAAGATAAATAAAATGTCAACGTTTAAATTAAAATGTGATTTTAAAAGTTAATTAAAAATAGCACTGTTCTTAAAAAGTTCAAAGAAATCTGCTGTACTTAAATGTAAAGTATTATCATAAACAATTACAGGTGGGCCCCACGCGGGCTAGCCAATGTGGTTGGATATAGGGCATGTGCCCCAGTAAAAATCTATGATCATAAATAATTACAGGTGGGGCCCATGATAACAGATGTCATAAGTTATTTCATAGAGTGTAGCTGATTTATTTATACAGTAGTATTATTAAAGTAAAAAAAAATATATATTTTAAAGGCAACATTACATAGACACAATAATAGTTTGTTTTTCACTGTTGTGAAGTATATCCCAGTGACAACATCTCCAACATGAGAAAATGTACTTGATTTTTCAGTAGTACTGGATTTGAAAATATTTTTCCCATTGTTTTTTATCTTAGATCTTTTGATTAAAGTGTTATGATTAAAGTGTTATGAGCCACAAACCAAACCAACCAACTGTATGGTGAATCACAACATTATGAATTTGATTTGAAGCAAAGAAACATAAAAACATGAAAAGGACAAAAGTACAAGACTTGACAGTCTGAAAGAACTACAATCCCATAAAGTTATGCAAATGGTACAATTTAAAATGATTGGAGAACTATACAATTGTTCATTTAAAGTCGTTGGTTGTATCCATCAAATTTCAAGCATGCTTCATGGGAGTGGGTGGAGCAATGCACTTTGCTACCTGCAACTCTCTGATTGGTAGAAATTTTCAAAGTTAATATGCAAATTTGAGCAGAAAAAATACACCATGTTGTACACAACATCATGTTAACAAATTCTACTATTATTTCTTTATAGAGCACTGATAGGAAAACCCTGCATACTCACCAGGAAAAAATCTAGTCAAACTAGGCCTGGGGGTTATTAGACCTTTGAACTTTAAATGACTTTTTTTATTTGATTGTTGTCAATGTCAATAACCATATATGATTCCTCAAAAACTTTTCTTAGTCAGAAAGTTACAGCAAGCAAAGTGCACAAAATGAGAGATTGCGTTAAAATGAGTTGAATTCATGTGAACATATACAGTCGATTAACAACCTCTGCATGTCTTTAAAATTTTTCGGTTATTGTTAAAAACTACAATTTCTAAATATTATTTTTTTACTATTATGTTCATAACCTGACTTTTGCATTCTAAAGAGAATTTATTTGTGTCAAATAAATGTCAATGTCATGTGACCATGAATGTTCATCAATTTTGTCCTAACGATTGTTTATTAAACAAATGATTTTAAAAGAAGATTTGTTGTTATTAATTTTTTGCACTGTTATATTTTATTCTAACTTACATGATACATGATATTTTCAGAGCAAATTAGAGATTTCTGTAATTCTATGTAAAAATGTTTTTGCTCAAGGAAGATACTCACCAGTCGCCAGTCATATAAATAAGTGTGTCCTTGTTTTATCATTAACTCTGTGTGAAAGATTATGGGTCTTTAACATAAAACCAGTAAATGTTTCTGATCATTATGCACATAAATCATTGCTTGTCTTTTGTTTATGTGCTCAAACCTATCATATGTGAAACCTATACTGCACAGCAAATAACTACTATCAGACAATTGATTTATTATTGTGACAGGTCAGCTGAAAGACTGTATTTTGTTTTTTGTCTTCATCTGCAGCTGAATTACCTCCGCCCTACACAGCCATTGCCAGTCCAGATGCAGGAGGAGTGCCAGTCATCAACTGTCGAGTGTGCCAGTCTCTTATAACTCTGGATGGCAAACTCCATCAGCATGTGGTGAAGTGCACCGTCTGTAATGAGGCCACGGTAAGAGAACCTGACTGCAGATAGCGCTTAGTCATGCACTCCTTTAGTCCACCATCTTTCTCTTTGATTTAATAACCAAAAGCTTTTGCCACCTCACTTATTTTTTTGCATGTTCTCACACTTTAAAAGTTCTGATCATCCAACAAATTTAGTCAAAATTAAGTCAAAGAAAACACAAATAAACACTTCATGCAGTTTTTAGTTTTTAAATAAAGGCTTTTTTATTAAGGGAAAACAAAATAAAAAACTACTTAGCCCTATGTTTAAAGGTGTTTCCACTATTACAGCCCCCCACACACACAACCCTCACCTGTTTAAACATAACTTAACTCTGGTTTATTACACCTGAGTTCAATTTTTAGGCTTGATTATGGCTACACCTGTTCGAAGTCAAGAAATCACCTAAAATAGGACCTGCCTGACAAAGTGATGTAGACCAAAAGATCCTCAAAAATTAGACATCATGCAGAGATCTAAAGAAAACTCAAAAACAAGTTAAGAAAAAAATATTGAGATCTAGAAAGATTTGGGACTATAGCAAACCACAGTGAGATCTATTATCTACTAATGGCAAAAACGTAGGACAGTATAGAATTTTCCCAGGAGTGGTCGGCCACCAAAATGACCTGCGACATCTCATCCAAAAGGTTAGAAAAGAAGAATCCAAAGAACTGCAGGCCTCACTTGCCTCAGTTAAGGTGAGTGTTCATGACTCTACCATAAGAAAGAGACTGGGTAAAAAGTGTTTGCATGGCAGAGTTTCAAGACAAAAACCACTGCTGAGCAAAAAGAACACAAAGGTTTGTCTCAGTTTTGGGAAACACTTTGGGGAAAATATTTTGTGGACTGATGAGACAAAACTTTTTGAAAGGTTTGTGTCCTATTATGTGTGGCATAAAAGTAGCACTGCATTTCAGAAAAAGAACATCATACCAAGAGTAAAATGTGGTTGTGGTAGAGTGATGGTCTGTGGCGGTTTTGCTGCTTCAGGACCTGAAAGACTTGCTGTGATAAATGGAACCATGAATTCTGCTGTGTACAAAAATATCCTGAAGGACAATTTCTGGCCATTTGTTAGTGACCTCAGGCTGAAGCAAATTTGGGTTCAGCAGTAGGACAATGATCCAAAGCACACCGGCAAGTCCACTTCTTAATGGCTGAAGAAAAGTAAAATGAAGACTTTGGAGTGGCCTACTCAAAGTCCTGACCTGAATCCAATTGAGATGTTTGAAAGCCCTCCAATGTGGCTGAAGTACAACAATTCTGCAAAGATGAGTCAAAGTTCTTCCACAGCACTGTAACAGACTTATGGCAAGTTTTTGAGAACGCTTGACTGCAGTTGTTGCTTTTAAGGGTGATCCAACCAGTTATTAGTTTAGGAGGAAGGTTTGTGCCCCATTATGTGTGACATAAAAGTAACACTGTTATACAGAAAAAGAACATTACACCAACAGCAAATTGTGGTGGTGGTGGTGGTAGTAGACCTGGAAGTCTTGCTGTGATAAATGGAACCATGAATTTTGCTGTGTACAAAAATGTCCTTAAGGACAATGTCCAGCCATTTTTTAGTGGCCTAGTCAAAGTCCTGAACTGAATCCAGTTGAGGTGTCTTAAAAATGCGGTTCATGTTTGGAAGCTCTCTAATGTGGCTGAATTACAACAATTCTGCAAAGATGAGTCAAAGTTCTTCCACAGCGCTGTAACAGACTCATTGCAAGTTATCGAAAATGCTTGATTGGACATTTTTCCACACAAGGCTATGTAGCTTTGTATTTTCTTTTCCTTTAATAATGAAAATCTTAATTTCAAAACTGCATTATGGGTTTACTTGTGTTATCTTTGACTAATAATAAAATAAATTTGATGATCTGAAACATTAAAGTGTGATAAACCAAAAAAAGAAATCAATGAGGGGCAAATATTTTTTTCACACCACTGTATATTATGTTCTGTACGATTTTAAAAAATAAATTATTACTTACAATTGTGAAAGTCTACATTAAATGAAAGTTTCAGTAAAGGCATTTATAATAACACACGGGATTCCTGTTTAAGTAGATGCTAGTAGAACTTTCTATTCATCAAAAAATGCTGTAAAATAAAATATTGATTGATATAATCATTTCTGAAAGGTCACATGACATTGAGAATTAGTAATGGATGCTTAAATTTCAGTTTTGTAATTACAAATATACATTTCATTATAAAAGGTAAAAAATAGATAGCAAATATTTTACATAATACAGTTCTTACTGTATTTTTGACACAACCTTGTTAAACATAAAAGCCTTTCCAGTATCAATCCACACATTTTTGAATAATAGTTAAATTCATCAGATTTTTCTTTTAATTGTCAAATTGATAGAGGGAAATTAAAAGTTAAATGTTATGAAAGAAGTTTCAAAATATTCATCATTTATATAGCATTGCAATTAGATAAATGACCTCATTTATCAAACAGATCACCTTTATTAATCAACTTTAATAGTATAAACAGCATATGTAATTGCATATTAGTTTATTAATGAAGCAAGCAGAAATGATAACCACAGACTACTCATGCAGTTTCTTGATATATCTCTTAATCTTGACTTGTTTGTGCCATGTTTATCTGATGTCTGGGCTACTTTCAAATCCAGATTAAAAAGAAGTTACATTTATTACAATTTATAACATATAAGTTTAAATAAAAGTTCATGATCAATACAGCACGTGAATGTGGACCAAACACAAGTGTGACAATTTCTCAGAGAATAATGATTCAATTTCTGTCTGTTCTGTAGTTATTGCTATCCTTTTAACTGCTCATCTGACCACAGTATAAATCAAATACAGAATGGATGTATCCTCACAGCCTTGAAGTAAATGTGTTTGAGATGAAGGATCCACGTGCACGGCTATAAGTGTTGTGCTCAACGGGGCTGAATTGCACCGTAATTGAGTTGTCTGCATGAGAAACACTTTGCATGAAAAGTGGATGCTTAATGGAATTGCTAAGTGACCTGATTCACTCAATGGCATAAAAAATACAGATTTCTAATAGGGCTGGGCAAAGAAATTAAGAAATTCAATTGATAAATATGCTTGATTTGATAAATATTCTCTTTTCTGTATTCTACATTCTACTCATTGTATGCATTTGAAATAAAGGATGGGTTTTGTTTTAACGTACCAATGTGTGCATTATTAACTTTATTGTGTATTATTAAAATAATAATAATAATACCCCCATCTTATTTTTTGTCATTAATTCTCTACTAATAAACAAATGTTCACTGTACATTTTTAGATATATTAGTGGTACTTAGGTAGTGCCCCCTTTAAATGTTTTTTTTTTTTTCTTTTTTAAATGTTTCCCAAATAATGTTTAACAGAGCAAGGAAATATCACAGTATGTCCGATAATATTTTTTCTTCTGGAGAAAGTCTTATTTGTTTTATTTCGGCTGGAATAAAAGCAGTTTTTGATTATTTAAAAACCATTTTAATGTAAAAATTATTAGCCCCTTGAAGCTATATTTTTTTTCGACAGTCTACAGAACAAACCATTGTTATACAATAACTTGCCTAATTACTCAAACCTAAAAAGTTAACCTAATTATCCTAGTTAAGCCTGTCACTTCAAGCTGTATAGAAGTGTTTTGAAAAATATCTAGTAAAATATTATGTACTGTCATCTTGGCAAAAAAAAATCAGTTATTAGAAATGAGTTATTAAAACTATTATGTTAAGAAATGTGTTAAAAAAAAATCTTTTCTTTATTAAACAGAAATTGGGGAAAAAATAAACAGGGGGGCGAATAATTCTGACTTCAACTGTATATATATCTCACAGCCTCTGATGCAGGTTGTTCAAGGATCTAGTCCCTCTAATGCAGGATGGACACTGTATCGTATCATCCTTTTTATACTTTTTTATACATTTGATATTGGCAGTCAATGAATATCAAGTTGTTGCAAATCTACATATATTTGTGAATAATGTAAAGCTGCAATTGCTCATGACTCATTTTAGGAAGTTCAGAATGAATTCTCCCCTTTGGGTGACAGTAACTCCATTCATCATGCACTTGGGTCTTCAAATCTTTGCATACGTATCTTCTTTTTGCAGCTTAGTCCTTTATTTATCAGGGGTCACCACAGCAGAATGAACCGCCAACTATTCTGACATATGTTTTATGCAGCGAATGCCCTTTCAGCCGCAACCCAGGGAAACAACCAGTAGCTAGTACGTCATACATAATGATTTAAATTAAAAGGCTTTACATGGCTACATATTTTACATTTCATATTGGTTTAGTGTAGATTTCTTTGGCACAGAATCAGATGTTTCATAAGTTGCCATGCAGACCTGACCTCAATAGGAGGTATTATTGAAAGATTGTTCTGTCTGGAGTTAAGAAAGCATTTGACTGCTCCATATAATAACAGCATTATTTAATGCATACAGATGAAGTTTGATAATAGTTCAACCCCATGCCCACTCGCTATTCTTCAGCTTAGTGCCTGATTTATTAGGGGCCGGAATAGTTAGTCCAAAAATGAGAATTCTATTATTTACACACTCTTTTATGTAGGTTTTAAACATCTTGAGAGATAAAGATAAAAAAAAAACAGTTTTGATAGTAAACTGCACCTGTAAATGAAGAATTAAAGGTCTATATGGGAATATATTCAGATAAACCTTTAAATTATTAAAAAATTATGTTAAACTAATATGATTGATATCTTGTATATTGTGATTCATCTGAATTGTGAGATGTCTGCTTTTTTACAGCCTATAAAGAATCCACCAACAGGAAAGAAGTATGTTAGATGTCCTTGCAACTGCCTGCTAATCTGTAAAGACACGTCTAGGAGGATAGGATGCCCTCGACCCAACTGGTAAGTGTTCAAGACACATTTCAGAGGGTCATTTAGTCGCTATGTGTTATGAGATCTGCAACAGTATATTTGTGCAGACGTGCATTACCATAAACACTCAAGCAAACAGTGCTTGTTTCCAGTTTGAATGGCTTAGGGATTTGCACTGTAAAGGTCTTAACTCTGTAAAGTCTGACATTTGAAAAAACAGATTTCATTTAAAAAATGGAAAAGTTTATTTAAATTGTTGCAACATAGGCTCATTCTAAAAAAATAGCCCTATATACATTTCTGGAGATCGCAAATTATGTAGCCAGAGGTACATATCTTTAAAACAAACGATACAGGGCGGTATGAGATCGTTCCTTTTTGCGGACCGCTTACCCCCATATGGATGGCTTTCCCGCTGTAATCAGTTTGTTCAGTAGCTCGCAACATATGTTGTTGGACTTGGACGTGGTGGACGTGAAGCGGAGTTGCCTGCAACGAAGGGGTATGAGTCCAGCAAAGAAAGGTTCCAGAAAACAGGCAAGACAAAAGCAAAAGTCAAAAAAACTAAATAAACAAGTAAATAACTGGGTGAGAATGTGGTGAAGTCTGAAAACTTGGTAAATATCAGGCAGCCGCAAAGGCTTTTCTTTTTTTGGATTGCTTTTGAAAATACTGTTGGTTGGGTTTAGGGAAGGAGAAGGGTCAGTCAGTCGACAGTGGCCATTGAGATCTGAGATCTGAAAAAGCATACACAGTGACCTCTGGTGGATTTGTGAAAACAAAAACTACAAAAAAAGCGTAGCTCCTGGGACATATTTGGTGCTCTCCAGAAATGTATATAGGGGTACGTTCTCATGATGAGTGTGGGTTGGAAATTTAAGAACACACACACATAAACACAGAGAAATAAACAGGTTAAACTGCTTTAATGAAATTGGGGAAAAATACAGATTGCAAAATGTTCAATAAACACGTGTTTCACTTCTAACAAGATTTTAATGTATAGATGTAATTATAATGAAAAACCTGATAACAATCAAAATATATAAAAAAAGAGACAAAAATCAGTCTTATCTGAATAAAAAAAAAATATATGTCTAATTTAAAAACAACAGGAATTCAAAAACCTCTCTACATATTTAAACAGGGAGCTGTAGTGTTATAAAATTTTTACCGTAAATTCTCACATAATAATTTAAAGGCATTTACTCAATCATACTAAATCTGTTGCGTTTTCTGATTGAGTTCAACAAGCCTATCTCTCATTTCTCCATGGTTTTAAAGCGTCCTCTGAAAACAGCAGATTCTAATAAGTTGCATAAAATCAATCCACCTGGTCCAGCCATGGTACAACAGAGGAGTTTCTTGGCTATTATGCCAGAATGAAAGTAGATGCTAGCCATATCGGCCAAGAAAATAGTCGTTTTTTTATTTCAATTTCTGTCAGCCTTATCACATGATGTAAATATAGAAGTTTTGAGACTGAAGCTTTGCATTTTTGAATGAAATGGTCCATTTTGATTCAATTCATAATACTAAGCTAAAAATTACCCCACAAGAACAAGAAATCAGCTGAATGGATTAAAAATGGTTCAATTAGCTGTTTAACTCTAGTAAAATGACTTGTGAAATTAGCCTTAAAAAAAAAAAAAGAAAAAAAAAGTAGTGTTCCTTTAACCATAATTACAACAAAACCTAAGCCTGACTACACATAATTACAGGTAGTTAAAGGTGCAGTAGGTGATCTGCCTAAATGCTAACCGATTAACTTTATATCTTTCAAATACAATCCCTCCCCTGTTGTCCAAAGCCATGCCTTCTGAAATCGCGAACGCGCAGGTTAAAGATGACAGAAACCCAACAGATCATGTCATTTGCCAGTTAGAAATCTTTATAGTACTTTATATAACTACAATTCTCAATGAAAAAACTGTAATATATGTTGCACATTTTCAGTTATGTAGTTAGCAAGCAAAACTTGTCATCACTTTCTCATCAGTCTCACTCTCTCACACGCTTTGTCCTAAAGCGACTACTGAATGCTAAGTGCTTCACAGGTGTCATTGTTCAAAAATGAACCAATGTAAATATAAACTAACTTCACCTCAGTAAAGCAGGCTAGGCACAACAACCAGCACAACAAAAAATGTTTCTGAAAATGATCTCCTCCTGCACCTTTAATTAATTTTATTCATTACTAAAATATGTAGTTACAATGTTACAAGGTAATAACTGTGTAATCACTGTAAAAGAACAAAAACTTTCACAGAAAACATGCAGCATGATAATGTACAACAATTGTTCAGCATTCTGATCATATTATTAATTTCGAGACCTTTCTTGTATCAGATTTGATAGTTGAAATTTTACAGGCTTATTAACATTTTCAGTTTTTTAATGATGTGAAAACGCTGACGTTGTTTGTATGGGCCCCCAGCAGACGCATCATCAACCTGAGCCCAGTGATGGTGATCCCGGAGGAGCAGCCGGCTCAGCCAGCTCTACCCGTCCAGCCGGAGGGCATGCGTGTGGTCTGCGGCCACTGCGGAAACACATTCCTTGTACGGTCTCACATCCTTTTGATAACATTTCATCTTTGATATATTCAGTGCATGGTTCTGGTTTCAGTGTGTGGAAGGACAGAATGCATTTATGCTGTCGTTCAAACTTTAGGGTTCAGTAGAGGTTGTTAGATTTTAAGAATTACAAACATTTGAATTAATGCTGTCAAATGATTAATCATAATTAATCACATCCAAGATAAAAGTTTGTATCTACATAATATATTTACCACATATTGTGTGTAAGTTCAGGCTGGTTCAGATGGCATTCTCCCTATGTGCTATAGGAGAATTGAATAAACTAAATTGGCCGTTGTGCATGTGTGTGAATGAGTGTGTATGAATGTTTCCCAGAACTGGGTTGCAGCTGGAAGGGCATTCATTGAATAAAACATATGCTGGATTAGTTGGCGGTTCAATCCACTGTGGCGATTTCTGATGCATAAAAGGACTAAGCCGAATGAAATTAATTAATGAATGGTTTTATTTATAATTTGCATTATATATAACAATTTAGGGCAGCACGGTGGCTCAGTGGTTAGCATTCTCGCCTCACAGCAAGATAGTTGCTGGTTTGAGTTTGTATTGGGTATTGGGTACGAGGTAGTGTATTAATGTGTGTGTTAATATGAAAGTGTATGGGTGTTTCCCAGGGATAGGTTACAGCTGGAAGGGCATAAAACATATGCTGGATAAATTGGCGATTCATTCTGCTGTGGCCACCCCAGTTTAATAAAGGGACTAAGCCGAATAGAAAATGAATGAATAAATGAGTTGGCGGTTCATTCCACTGTGGCAAAAATATACACAGTATGCACATATAAATTTTGTAAATATGAACTTTAATTTTGGATGCGATTAATCATTTGACAGTACTAATTTTAATATATTTACACATTTGATTTATTGTTGTTGAATTTTTTGAATATTATCTTTTTACATGATCCTTCTGAAATCATTTTAATATCCTTGTCTGGTGCAAAATTATTACAGTATTAGTAGCATTATGGTTTATATATATATATGTATATGTATATATAAATGTATATATATATATATATATATATATATATATATATATATGTTTGTTTTTTTTTTGTTTTTTTTAAACTGTGAAAATTTTTTTTAGAATTCTCAGAATAATAAATAAAAACACCAGAACAGCGATATATATATATATATCTGCACATACTGTTACTGTATATGAAATATACTGTTTTGTTTTTTGGTAATTTGATGCAATTTTGCTGATATTGATATCTTAATTGTATAAAATACTAATCAGATTAAATCGTTAGTTTTCCATATAGACCTTTAATTCCTCATTTACAGGTATAATTTATTCTCAAAACTCTTTTTATCTCTCAAATTGTTTCAAACCAAACCTACATAAAAAACAACAACTAAATCTTACTGACCTCAGACTGTTGAACGGTAGTGTCTGTGTAGTGTTGTCATATTGACCATAAAATGTTTTTTGAAAAATTTAAAACTGCCTTTATTTTAGCCGAAATAAAACAAATAAGACTTTCTCTAGTAGAAAAAAATATTAGTTGACATACTGTGAATATTTCCTTGTATCATTTAAACATTATTTGTGAAGAAAAAAAAAATTCGAAGGGGGTTAATAATTCTGACTTCAACTGCATACATATAATATGTTTAAGCTATGTTTTTAGGTAAAGAGACAAGGTCACTTTATATGAAGAACAAGTGAACATTTTTACAAAAGCAACCCTCGGTTTTTCATACAATTTGTAGATGAATATTTTGAAGAACTTTTGTATGAATAGATTTGTAAGAGTAGCGACGGAAATATCGTAGATTTGGTTAAAAATCTCTTAATTTGTGTTCTAAAGGTGAACACATTTCTTATTAGTTTGTAATGAAACACGAGGGTGAGTAAATGATGACAACAGTTTCATTTTCAGAAAACTAACACTTTAAGGCAGCATGTTAATCAGCAGAAAATCATTTGTCAAGTGTGTCCACTTACCCTGAATCAAAACTGCTGTAGATTATGAACAAATTTATTTATTTTTTTGCTATGTTTGCTTATTCTTAGCTAACTTCCCTCTTAACTTCCCTCTTTTTTTGCAGTGGATGGAGCTTCGATTTAATACCCTGGCTAAGTGCCCACATTGCAAAAAAATGTGAGTCGCCATCATTTTCCATATACTGTATCTATGTTTCAGTCCTCCGCCAGCGATGTGGCCTTCTCATCAATCTCTGCGGTCAGGCTTGAGTTTGTAGAAGTGAAAGTAAATAAACCCCTTGCGAGCTTCAGTTTGAGAGAAGGGCAATGTGATGCCAGTCACCTGAGAGAGCGGCACACCATGCTGACATACTGAAACATGAGTCCTGTACGCTAGTGACGCCGCAAGGGAGAGTTATGACAACAGATGCACGGCACACATGAATGAAGACCAGTGCTCATCAGACATGCAGAGAAATTCACCCATTTCCAATGCACTTGAAGAGGCAGAGACGAAGAGACGAGCAGCAAATGGAGAGAAATTAAGCACCTTAAGCTATCTTGAGTTATTGCGAATCTTGAAGAATGTTTGAAAGTCCGATCACATGAGAGGCATGTGAAGGGTCACGGTGAGATTTAATGGGTCGCAGAGAGGAAAAAGAGCAGGCCATGTGACTCACTGACACAGTTCTCTATTGACTGTTAGTGTTTGTAGGGCTTTTAGAAGTGAAGATCTTACATCTGAAAGGTTTGGAACATTATATTTTTTATATTAATGTTTATATAAATGGTATATTCACACACATATACAGTAGATTGGACAAATAATGAATAACATATAAATGCGTTAAATTAAAATGAATTATAATTGAATTATAATTAAATTAAAACTCCAGATGTTTTAACTATTAATTAATCATAGTTTGGTTCAACTTAGTATTATATCATTTTGTTGCAGAGACTACATTATGATTAATCAAAATATTTGTTGTTTAAAATAACATTTGACCCATCAATACCAATAGCATGTTGTTGTTGTTTTTTACAGCTCTCAGAAAAGAAAGCTAAATTATGAATTATTATAGATAAAAAAATAGAACTACTTTTTGTTACTTAAAAAAAAATAACTTATATTAAAAAATATATTTCTCTTTAGACAGATAGATAAACCTTTTTCAGCTTTAGCATTCAGCTTACTTACAGAAAAATAAACTGACAAGGCATATTAATATTCTGCATTATATTTATATAGATATGAGCAATATTACGCTCGTAGCAGTGCGATATGGCTGTATATTGGCCATATCGTACTGCTGCTCGTGTGAAATTGCATTTATACAACAGTTCGACGGAATAATCGTCGGTATAAAAAAGAAAATCAAACACAGAGAGTCTCAAAACCTTTATGTACGAGGAACTACTTTCTTCCGTCATTTATTTACATCTGCAGCTGGCGTCAGAACAGCAGAAACTGTTGCTACTTCACCAACGTCACTTTAGAGCTATATTTGAATAATTCTCTTGCGTAATGACATTTTACGATTTTACGACTGAACAGCATGAAACGCCATCAGTCTGGAGATTTCCTAGTATTTATCTGTTCCAATGGGGAGATCACAATAATTAATCCTGAAAAAGCCAAATCAGTGCAAACACTACCAGATTACTGTTTTGTTTGTGATAAGGAAAAACGCTAAACACATGCGGGCATTTCTTCTTTCTTTCTGTTAACTGAACTAGTGTGCAGTAACGAAAACAGAAGACTCATTAGAAACAAACAGATGGTCAACCAAAAAGTAACTCAGGGTTGTACAAAGAGTGGCCAACACAAATACCCAAAGTACATTCCTGATATGCCAGTCCCATCTCACACTCAATACACCTCAATTAAATAGTATAAATACAGCATTACAACATACAAAAGAGAGAGAGAGATTGACTTAGAATGTCACTAACCAGTTTAATAGTGATTTGATCAGCTGTAGCTAGAAATTACGCTGTTTTTCTCTTCTAAGAGTTTATTATGTGCCCTCTGTCATCATCTTGTAGACGGACAACGTCAACTGTCTTTGGACAGGCTAATGGCCGCCAACACACTCTCTCTCAGAAACTATAAATATTTTAAAATAGGCACTATCCTTATAAATAAACTGCATAGTTGCATCTGAACAACTACATTCTCAACTAAAAAAAGTCTTAAAAGTAAATTATGTTGTCCAACAGCAGAAATATTTGTTAAACTGTAGAGTGTCCTCTGCTTCTTGCTGTATGTGGGTGAAGTAATACACAAGGAGGCTGAAAAAGTTTCTGTTATTTGGCAGAGTATGTAAGCCAATCAGATTGAAGAACCAGACAAAACTTTTGTATAACACCAGTGCCAATATACAGCCATATCGCCCTGCTACTCATGTGCTATTGTTCAAATATTTTATATAAATTTTTTTTCATTTATAAAATTGTTAAAATGACTACAGTAAGCTATAAAAAAGTTAATGTTAGATTTAGTTTACCTACAATAAATTACACATGTAATTTAATAAAAGCACTTTGGATAGACCTTAAAATGTATTGTAATGTCTTCTTAAAATTTCAATAATTTTCTGTTTGGTACTAACAAAACAAATCTATTATTTGTAAAGCCAATGTGTGTTCTGCATATGTGCATTCTGGTGTCATTTAAAAATAGTGCGCAAAATAATTTATTTTATTTTTTCTATGGGGACTTTAATTTGCTTTTAGACAAGCTGGCTGGAAAAAACATAGAAAAAAATAGACCAATGTAAAATCTACTTTAAATAAATGAGATGCTGCTTCACTCGTTATTTGTAATGTAGCTAGTTTTTGAATAGCATTGAATATCCAATCTGCTTTTCACATACTTCCAGCAATGAAACATTATATTTTTGCACTGAGAGCTGATACAGAGCAGCTGAAAGTTTGTGTTCTTTTAATTCAGCACTGGCAATAATTGTTTGTGTGTTGTTTGTTTGTCTGTAGATCCTCTGTAGGCAGTGCTTTACCCAGAAGACGCTGCTGTGCCTACATTACAGTAGGAATGATCTGCATTTTCATCGGTATTGGTTTAACAGTGAGTATGTTTCTTGGTTTTAAGAAGTTTTGTTGGTTTCAGTACTATTTTTGTTTTATTGAAGAAAATTTCATTTGGCAGAGCTGAATTAGCTTGATCAACAGGGTCAGCAAATGTATTTATGTCAAAAAAGATGTTCTGAAATGTCTATTTATCAGAAAATGTCCAATTCAGCTTGCATCACAGAAATAAATTACATTCAATCATATATATGAAAATAGAAAATTTTTTTAAAAACACTTTGTTGAGGGCGACGCAGTGGCGCAGTGGGTAGCACGTTCGCCTCACAGCAAGAAGGTCGCTGGTTCGAGTCTTGGCTCAGTTGGCGTTTCTGTGTGGAGTTTGCATGTTCTTTCTGCTTCCGCACGGGTTTCCTCCGGGTGCTCCGGTTTCCCCCACAGTCCAATGACATGCGGTAAAGGTGAATTGGGTAGGCTAAATTGCCCGTAGTTTGTGTGTGTGTGTGAATGATTGTGTGTGGATGCCCCCCAGAGATGGGTTGCGGCTGAAAGGGCATCCACTGTGTAAAAACTTGCTGGATAAGTTGGCGGTTCATTCCGCTGTGGCGACCCCGGATTAATAAAGGGACTAAGTTGACAAAAAAATGAATGAACACCTTATTGATAATCAGATGTACAGTACATGTATGTATCATAAAAATTGTAGGTGTGTATTTACATATACAAAATCTTATAGAATGGCTTGTATTTTTTCTATATGATTTCAGCAAAGTTGATTTATATTTACAAAATGCAGTAATATAATCGCGAAGGGGCGACACGGTGGCACAGTAGGTAGAACATTCGCTTCACTGCAAGAAAGTCGCTGGTTTGAGTCTCGGCTGGGTCAGTTGGCATTTCTGTGTGGAGTTTGCATGTTTCCCCGTGTTCGCTTGTGTTTCTTCCGGTTTCCCCCTCAAGTCCAAAGACATGTGGTATAGATGAATTGGGTATGCTAAAAAATTGACCGTAGTGCATGAGTGTGTGTGTTTCCCAGTGATCGGTTGCGGCAGGAAGGGCATCCGCTGCGTGAAACATATGCTGAATAAGTTGGCGGTTCATACCGCTGTGGCGACCCTGGATTAATAAAAGGGCTAATCTGAAAAGAAAATGAATTAATAAATGAAGAAGAGATCATTTAAATAATTTCACATACACAAATCTTTACTTAACAATGTTGCAGTCTAATATTACGTTTTTGATATCAGAACATTTATAGTTTATTCATAATCACAGTCAAACTGCACTTGTCATGCAACAATCATCAGTGATTTATTTCATAACAGAAGAATTTGGGACAGTTTCACACTTGAGACTCATAAAAGCTATTCTCCTATGATACACCTACATTTTAAGTCACAGGTTTTCTTTAGTAACACTTTTATTTAAATCACACTTGTAAGTTACATCAGGATCTGATGATCATTAAAGCACATATTATGTTGCAGTTCCTAAAAACGTCACCAGCCGACTTACAAGTAACTCTCAAATTAGCACTAGCTAAGCGGTCATTTCGTACTCCGCATAAACACAGTGTTTGTTTTCCTCTCAGGTTGGCACTCAGGACTTCGCCAGGCGTTATCATGCTACATATGTTTCCTGGGCCTTCGCATACCTGCTGGGTCTCATCTGTCTGGTCCGGGCCTGCTATTGGGGAGCCATTAAAGTCAGCTATCCTGAAAACACCTTTGCATAGACAAGCATCCATCCTTCGAGCCCTTTTAGTGTTTGATTTCACTCGATCTGAACAGGTAAACCCATGGATGCCTAGTCATGTTACAAGTGCGTGAGTACCCAGGAGGTTTAGGTCCCTGCAAATGTCTTCAAATAGAGTTATTGATTAGCTCGGATGTTTCTTGAATGCGCAATATGATGATGAGAGGAGGAATCTGTGATTTTAAAAGGTTATAAGTTATAAACTGTTTCATTTTAGCAGGGTGGATGTCAAACATGTTTTCCGTACTGCGTTTTGTTACCAACTTGACCAAAAGAGATGATCTTTTATGAACAATTTGCCCATTGCACTACAATTTTTATGCAATTTTTCTGTTGTGTTGCTGCTAGTTGCCACAGCTGTCATGAGCTGAGAGATGTTATGTGTTCAGAAAGCCTGCCAACGGTGGCACGATGCGTCATTTCAAATGTTTAGATATATTTAACCGTTCCTAAAATCCTGTGCCAACCTTTTCTGTTGTTTGAGGATCTGAAATTTAGCAAACCCGTTCTTGACTGCTCAAACCCACTGTGAGCAATAATCATGCATTTTGTTTGTTTCGTTTGTGGCTTTAAAAGAATTAAAAAAGAACAGCATGTACAGTCACCGGACTTCTGAAATGAATATATTCTAGGCGCAGTAAATTCGATAGTGCTTGTGGTGTAATATTGATTGTTTTGCATATTTTTTATTTTACAGAATCTAAATATGTTATACTGAGGCACTTACAATGGAAGTGAAGATAAACATTAAAATGACTCTTTAAATATTACACAAAATAAAAAGAGAAAATGAGATTTCAAATATTACACTACACTACTTAGTTCAGCATTTGTTGGATGTTTTGAAAGATGGCACTCATGTTGATGAGAAATACAGTACTAGATCAATATACTGTAAAACAGTAATTCTGTCTAATATTATTACACACTGAAAAATCTATTCCTGCAAAGTTGTTTTAAAAAAACTACATGGGCTGAATTTAAACAAACAAGTTAAATATAGTAATTTAACTCAATTTGTTTAAAATCAGCCCAAATAAATAGTTTACAACCACTTAACTTAAAAAAGTAGTATTCATCTTTGAATCATTTTTTCAGTGCAGTTTTAATTCTTTGTGTTCTACAATCCTGACCTTTTTCTAGTAATTCTAAAGGGAGAAAGGGGAGGATAGTGGAATTCTGATTATTTTATTGAGATTTGACTTTACAGTTCTGACAATAATCTATTGCAATTTAGATTTTTTTCTCTCTCTTTGCATTACAACTATATTGTTTGCAATTGCTAATTCATGGGTGTTTTTGCAATTGCATTTTTTCCAATTAAAGTTTTTTTGCATTTATATGTTTTTGCTGAAACTGATTTGATTTCCTGCAATTTAGTGGTGATCTATTTTATCGTTGATGTCACAGTTCAGATTTTTTTGTCAGATTTCGAGTTTATGCCTCACAATATTGCATTTTATTTCCTGCAAGTGCAAATTTATTAACTCTTAGTTTTATTTTTTGCTTACAATTCATATTTTATTCCTCAAAATTTTGATTTATTTTTCTGCAAATCTAACTTTTTTACCTCAAATTTTGCCTTTTGTTTGTCTGATTTCAGCTTTCTCTGACTTTTATTTCTTGCAAGTTTCCAATTGCAGTTTTATAAGTAATTCTATATGCATCTGTGTGGCATGTTTATATCTTTTCTATATCTATTTAAAAAAACTACTGTGGGGTTACCGTTTGCCTTTTTCCATTGTTAATTTTTTTATTCAAGTATCTTTTAAAATTTTATTTACTGGCTACATATAATTATCAGTATTGAGAGAAAGCTTCTCAAAAAAGTTTAAGTATATCAGCATTTATTTAAAACAGAACCCTTTTGTAATATTTTGTATCATTTATAAAAATAAAAAAAAAGATTAACCTGGCACCAAACTTGTAAACACTTACTACTTTTTTCTGTACAATTTTACTGCTTCATTGCCATCACAAAATTGTTTTTTAAAGTTCTAAAATTGTGAAACAGTTGTAAAAATGATTTTAACAGCTCAAATAATACACAAAGAGTTGCACAAATAAGAGGTTGTGCTTAATATCTTTACTTTTAGCTACCAAAAAAAATAAAAATATCCACAATTCCATTCCAACTGCCTCATTATAACATGATTCTTGCTGTATTTAAAGAAAACAAGGGATGAAAATACATGATTTTGTGAAAATCAACAATACACTACAAATGCTGTGAAACTGATGTTAACCTGGAGTAGTCCTGTAATTTCCCTCACTGATTAAACTCAATGACTCTTGTCGAATGGGAAATGACATGTGCATGATTTTCCTTTGACTTTTTTGTATGCAGAAGCAGTGTTTTCTTGGTCTTTTACTGACAAGACACAGTGGAAATGTTATGCCACGTGTCTCGTGCTTCTTCCCGTGTGTAGAATGTAAAAGCCCGCTCAATCCCACAATTCACCTGGCTAGTGTTGCTGTAGCTTACATTTACAGTAGTTCTGTATTTCGTCAAGACAAACGGAGATAACAATACTATCTTAACTTGTTCTGAATGTGACGAGCCAGTGAAGTCCTTGTACATAGGAAACTGAGCACACAAAGTCTGTAGTTCAAGTTGGAATATGGCTTGGGTCTTTTTAAAATGATAATTTCTCAATAAAATGGTAAAATATTTATTGTCTTTTGATGCTTCGCTTGATCTTGGTTGTGAAATGTGTACATGTTTTGTGTGTAGTATTATTTTTCTATGTCACAATAGCCTCCTAAATGCCTTTCATTCCATACAGTCTTTCATTTGGTGCTTCGTACCAAATGATAGACTGTATAATTGTGATTTGACTTGTCTCCACATTAACATGAATTGAATTTTCTATGGAGAAAAATCTTTACAGTTTAAATATCTCCAATTGGAATGAAAATAATGTTGATTTTTAGTGGACCAATAATTATCTCATTCATTCTGTATCTGTGACATTTTAATACATTTATAATATCTATAATTTTCTTCAAAGTTCGCTTAACATTAGTCAATTTAATATTTATCCAAGACTTTAGAACCACACTGTTTACGTTTTCTTTTTTATAGAAAACTTTTTTGTGTTTGTTTTTGCTGGTCTATAGCAGAGTTTCCATCATAATGTGTAATTAATCTTTTCAAAGTTAGAAAAGAATAGGAAACAAATGCGAATTAGATGAGTTTCCAACAAGTTGTATGAGCATCTGACGATTGTATTGACAACCAATCAATCAAGAAATCCAAATAAAGCTTGTTTAAAGGTGTTTTAAAGAAAATCTTGGTATACAAAGTGGAATAATAAGAGTTCAGCATATGTAAAGGGCCTTACCGTGAGCCTCAGACACCATTGTTTCCTTCAGTAAAAACTGTGAAAAATGTAGGCCTATTAGAAAACAAAGCACTGTTGCGCGACTCACAGGCCATGTCCTCAAGATTAACATGTACTTTAGGTCACGTTTTTTACGTCATCCAGACATGATGAGCAGCCGTGTCAACAGGACATCACCAGCTAAAACACTGATATGAGACTGATATGTAGCTTTTATATATTTATAATGAGGCGAAACCATGCCAAATAACCACCTAGACAAATATAAAAAAAAAAAAAAAAAATGTTAGTAAAAACTGTGAAAACTGTGTCGTTTATTACTCTCCTTTATGTCATTTTAATCCACTGAAAACTTTGCTTAGCTTCAGAACACCAGTTAAGGTATTTCAGGTGAACCTTAGAGCTCCCTTATCCTCCATAGACAGCAATGGTCACAAGACATTCAAAGTCCAGAAAAGGAACCAAAAACATGATCAGAACATTACATTATCGTACAATCATACGAAGCGCCTGCACACTTTTATATTCTACATATAGATGCTTGTGTGTTTCACTGATGACTTTAATGGCAAATACTCTTTATTGCCTGTAGTAAATGCACACCCTGACCTGTTGTGGAAGAGAAGACAATAGCCCCTTTCACACAGTGATACCGGTAAATATCCGGATAATTTCCGGAACGACTTTACCGGTAAATTCAAAAAGGGCCTGTTCACACATACACATCTTTCCGGAAAATTGCCGGTAATTTTCCGGAAAGGTCTGTATGTGTGAAAGGGGCTAAAGGCGAACAATGTTATTTTATTTTTAATTTTTTTGGCTCATTTGTTCATGGATTAAAGATGGACAAAGGTCTCAGAGGATTGGAATGACATTATGGTGAGTAATTTATGACAGAGTTTTCATTTTTGAGTGAACAACTAACCCAGTGCTCCTCAACTACCGGTCCGTGGATCAATAGGTAACGTTATCGGGCCGCACAAGAACTTAATTATTTCCGTTTTATTTATTACCTGCGTCTGAAAGATCTTTTATTTTGAAAAATCTTTTATTATGAAAAATGACCGTTTCTCAGCTACATCTCGGTCACTTGAGCGCCCCAATTTAACCCACGAGCAAAATGAGTAAGGAACAGACCGTTTTTTTTGTTTTGCTAAGGGGAAAAAGCACAGTGAAGGAGCCACGAACTGCCAAGGAAATGCATCCGCAACCCATTTGTCGACATATCAGGTAAATCCAGCATGTCTGTGCAAAAAGGTCAACTGGGCATCACAAATGACGACGGCCTTTTAGGGGCCGTTAGCAAATGACAATTAAACGCAAGTCTTTACTAAAGTTAGCAAGTTTGTTATTCGCAATGAAGGTGCGTACACACAGTTAAATGAAACATACACATTTCTGTCGACTAATTATCTCAAACACTGCAATGCTTTGTAATTTTCTCCATAAATAAAACTTGTATCAGAGTGACAGCATTGTTTTGTCAGCTTGTCATGAAAACTATTGATAGTTGCCTAACTTGGCAAATTTCGAACCACCGCCACCACCCCCCGGTCCGCGGTAAAATTGTCTAGTGTTGACCGGTTTGCTGTGATAAAAAGATTGGTGACCACTGAACTAACCCTTTAAGTGATAT